TCATATGATTCATCTAGTAGTTAATCTACTATCTGAATGCGATATTTGTGAAGAATTGTAACTTTGTTTAGTGCTTTATAATTAACACAAAACTTCTATTTCATGTCTTTCTTGTAACTAATAATATGACCACTACTAAGATTAGCTCATGGAATATTGTCTCAATCTTATTTTTCTAGAAGTGAATATTTGTAAGGTATCATATTTACATGCATTAATCTTGGTAACAAATGAATGGCATAATCAATAAGCTACTCAAGTGGCAAGCTTAGGATTGTTTCAAAAACTTAAAGAAATTCTTGCTTCAAGTAGATTTCTAGATCATTTGGTGCTTTAATGTCACTATTTGAGTAAATATGGTGCAATTCAACCATGTATTCATAACTGCCCTTAAGTTTCATCCCTATTCTTCTTAATGATGTACTAATTTTTGTGATATTAAGATACCCCTTGAAAATGTGAATTGTGTCTCCTATTATGAATTTTATAATAAACTTATCATAGTTGGAGAGAATCTATCTCAAGGTTCTCAACCACTAAATGCCTCAAAACATATCTGTGCAACTTAATTCCAAAGGTAAAAAATCTTGTACTATCAAAACACCTTGCAAATATAAAGGAACAGCTTTGTAAGTTTTTACTTTGATCATTGTGTTGTCATTGCCCATGACAATGTTGTATCCATATAACTCTTCCATTTGCAAAACTAAGTTGTCAATAACTATGGTGCACAAGAAATTGTGAGTTGCCCTACTACCAACAAGTACATATACTTCTATTGCATATATTTTGTCTCATAATTTTATGGTGCCTTGTTGAGAAATTTCCAAGATCAAAGTTAAGGATACATGTGTAGTGAGCTCACTCTCATTAGTGTTGGTTATAGCCTGGTCAAATGATTTCCAAACTTCGTCAATGTCGTCATCTCATAGTCCTTTTTTTGTCTTCATCAAAGATAATAATGTTTAACTTATTTTTACAACGGTGTCCTTGAGTAAATTTTTCATTAAAATAATAGCATAATCCTTTATCTTCTCTTTTGAAACTCATGATATGTCAATTTTAATATCTTATAGTATTCATAGTAGGCTTTGATGTAAATGAGTTTCTTGTTGAAATAACTTCTACCGAACTCTAATAGTTCTTCCTAAAGTTACCTTTGATACATGTATTCTGAAATTCCTTTCTATAAGAGTGATGACAAACTTAGTGTGGTTCATTCTTTAGAGCCATTTGATTTCCAATGAACTCATTCCTATTTCTTCTTATTTCTTGGAAGTACATCTCATATTAGATTTGATAAATCTATAGTTTCTCTAAGCCCAAGTGGCTTATACATTGTCAATTCAGATTTGATATCTAATTTTAAACCTTCACATATGGATCTTTTAACACTTTAGTGTGTACACGAGGTACAGAAGTTGTAATACACTCAAATTCAACTAGGTACTTACTCACTAACTTAGTTTGTTAGAGACTCATTAATTGTTATAGTGAACTTTTTATGTCAGATGTCTTAAATCATCTTTCAATTGACTTTTGAAGTCGTACTAATCACGAAATGGAAATCAATCCTCCATTTAGAGATACCATTCCAAGGCTTCTCCCTCTATATTCATCATAACTTGCTTGAGTCTATCACATTTGGCATCGGGTTCAAGTAGAAGTATCTTTCTACACTCTTGATCTAGCCCTCAGGGTCGTCCTCTTGAACAATAGATAGTTATATCCTCTAAGTTACTTGTGTCTAGTCAACATGAAAAACTCGATCCAAATGAGTAGTGTCATGATATTGTTGTCTTGGTTCTTCTCTTAAATTTACATTGGGATGAAAACTAAAATGTGAATCTTTTGTGGATAGTTTCTAGAGAATTTGGTTGAGAATTTATCTCTTTTCATTCAAGGATCATTCTTGTTTGGCATATTCTTGCTTCAATTATGTGATCTCCTCTTTTAATGAAACCATCTACTGTGCTTTAGACTTAGTGAACATTTGCTAGTTAAAATTAGTTCAAGTTTTAATTGGTTGGTCATTCTTTCTATAATAGCTCTACAAACTCTTCTTCTACTACTTTATTTCTATGGTAAATGATGGAGAAGGTCAGCCAATTGATATTATGGGAAGAATTAATTCCCACCTTTACTTAAACTATGTTGCAATCAGAATTTAGGATGAATATCTGCCTTCTACCTTGGTGATTCGATCTCTACTAGGGTTGCAAGAACAATATCTTACTTCAGTAATTTTGTGTGCATGTGATAGTTGCTTCAAACTCCAGTGAAATGGTTTGAATGACTTACTATGATATTAGTGTTACGAACCTCAAATGAGTATACTGTATACCTTAGCTTAGCCTTTGAAGCTCCCGCTCCACCGAGGCTAAATTTCTTTAGTGAAGAAAATCCAATCAAAAGGGATAAAAGGAAGATCATGAAAAAAATTCAAGAATAATAGGAACTAATTCTGAGGTCAGATCAACAAAAGATCAATTGGTGCACAAGGTCATTAGGGGGAGAATCACCCCTTTTCGTTTTAGGTTTTTCATCCCCTCATTATTTAGGGCCTTCTTTATATTTATTGACCCTAGTACATTATTCTTTAGTGGTCCCCATCAACATGAGAGTGTAGGTCATCTTTTGAAGACAACAATTGGCTTCATAACAGATTTCAATTTCAACTTATCACTTTGTGGTTGCCAATTGAGTTTTTGAATTTTAGTTCAAATTATTTTAATTGAATCATGAAAAATATTAGCAAGAAGCCACAAAAGAGTGAAGAATCAAGAGCATTCAAATGAATGAGAAAGACTCAATTTATATTCATGATTTTGATTCTGCCTCCTCAAAGTTTTCTTCTAAACTTAAAAATCAAATAAAATACAAAATATGATGCCTCCTTTAAGTCGTATGTATATGTCATTTACATTTAACCTAATAATGAACGTCTAAACCACAGCATATATACATGATAATGGTCTAGTAGGCCCAAAGTTAGATCTATAGTTATAAATAATGGTAATCCACAAATATTAATTTAAATAAAATAATTATTCTGAATAAAAATAAAAATAAAATCATCATGAACATAATATAGGCATGCATATAGACATGTAATATATCTTCATCCCAATACTTAAAACTACATATAGAAACATTTTTTACACTAAAAACATCCATTCCAATGTAGGGGGTATAACTTTTAAATTTGATTGGAAATGTATCGAATAATAAAATATGATTTTAAGTGTAATTTTAAATATTTTTTTACTAATATAAGATTGTGAACATTAAATATCCATTTTCTTGTCATCTAGACATTTTAAAAGAGATAAAATTATTTTCAAATGTCTCATAATAATTATAGCAAATTTGAGTGTCTAAATGAGTTCTCATGTTATCTTTAATCAGATGTAATGATGATTTTATCATTTGATTATGTAATTGTGGATTGGTCATAATCAAAATATTTCAAGGAAATTAAGACTCCTACAGCCAACAGTGTGTACATAATAATTGAGCACAATGAAAAAGGTGAATTTGGTTATTTTGACTCCAATTTTCTTTTGAAAGAGTGTGTACATACTATGAGATGTTCTTTTATTATTCTTACCATAACCATTCAATTGTACAAAAACAATTGACAACACATACACCCTCAGATGTTCAATCAAAGATATAATTCTCATAACCTATCTACCTACTGATTTCTTCTGTACATTAGACTATATAGGTTGAGTGAGATATAACTTAGACCATTAAAACATGAACTAAATACTTCTAGTGGTTTGGCATTATAGGCCTACTCTATTCTCTATGGACCTCATTATTTTTGTTCAACCAACACTTGCTAATACAATACACTAAACAACAAGATATCAACTAGCATCTAATTGGGCTTAAGTAGTTTCCAAAACACCATCAAAATTAACACTTCAAGACTGCCCAAGTATCCCCAAAACACTTCTTTTTTATTCCAACTCTACATCAACCAAAGTACTCCCCTCTACTTATGGTGATATCTAATATCATTAAAAGCATGTTACTTTATTGATATGAAATAAAATCTATAACATATAGTTTACATCATCCTTGGGTGTTGAAAGCTAGATAAGCCATTGTTCTATAAGCTTTAGTTTTAATAACCTATAATGATGTTCTATTAGTTTTAATAAGCTAGACAAGCCATTGTTCTATAAGTACTGCCCTGTAATAAATGCTCCTCTTTTAATGTGAAATATCCTTCTTCAATGATGTTGGAGTCAATCCTTTTATCATAGCATTTCGATTTTTTATTTAAAATCAGAAAGAAATAGCCAAAAGCACTACATTGTAGTCATTTCAACAACTACTTACAAGCTTTACAACAACTAATTTCAAGTACTAACACTTTTAAAATTATTCTTAGAAAGAAAGTAAGCTAAGAAGTGAACTCTCTTGTGATATGATGGAAAAATGCATTTCTTGGACCAATTGATATCAAGGTTAATTGAAATGCAAGATTCAATTAGTTGAATTAGATATTCAAACAGCATAAATGACATGGTGTGTCTTTCAACAAGATTCTAGCATCTGAAATTTCTGATAAGATAACATAATTAATTGACATAGTTAACAGTATTTTACATTTAAGTATCACACAACACAACATGCAATAAGTAGTATGATTCCTTGGAGTAATTACCATTGTCCTTTGATTATGATACCAATCTTTCAAATATATATGGACATTTTTATATAACATCTATTAACTTTATATTAAAAAAATTATGTAACCCATGCCTTCATCCATCAATACCTATCCTCAAACTCCTATTAAGATCAACGGGTACAGCTTTTGTAGTACTCAATAAATATTTTTTTTGTCGCTTATTTCTTTCTTCACATATGTACATTAATGGTCAAGACTTTGACAGCTGACCCGAAATCAGACTATTTGGAGCCATGCAGCCCCTATTCGGAACTGAGAAAGCAACAGTTGATCAATCGTATGCGGATCGCAGTTAGTACTGAACCTTGAAAGGGGCGCTCTGCTTGAGGCTGCCGACGATGTCCGCCACCGAGCCGACACTGGCGAAGAGGGAGACGAGCAGGCAAACCAGGCTCAGCCCCTGCAAGAGAACCCACTTCACCGTCCATGGCCGCACCTTCGCCTGCACTATGTGCATCGTCACGGGGAAGTACACCGACAGCGGCCAGAAGGAGGAGGCCCCCAGTAGGCCCAGCACGGAGTTGAAGAAGGGCACCAGCGCCGCCACCACCGTCGTGAGCACCACCATCGCCGTTCTCAGGGCTACCTTCGGCGCCGCAAAGCTCAGGGTCCGGCCCCCCGTAGAGAAGGGCAGCCTCACTTTGTAGACGGTGCTCACGAACTTCGCCTCCGGCCACCGCGCCGCCACGCTCTTCTCCACGGCGGCGAAGATGGGCTGGGCGAAGACCTGACGAAGACTGGTTTGATTGGGTATTTGCAGGTGGGGAGGAGGATCGAGAGAGGGAGATCGTCATCTGCATCTCACCTGGTAGGCGCCGGCGAGGTGGAGGACGATGCAGAGGTTGGCGATGTCGACGAGCCAGTAGGGCTCGTAGAAGCCGAACCCGGTGAGGATATTCCCGGGAGCGCTGTCCCCGAAGGCGGCGTAGCCCATGCAGCCCACCGAGAGGTAGAACACGGCGGTCAGCCCGATCCCGTACATGCTCACCTTCCTCATCGTCTTGTTCTCCGGCGGTGGCGATTTCAGAGTGTCCTGCGTTGGGTAGATCAGATTGATTCTAAGTGTAGGGCAGAGCAGAGCAGAAGAACATCATGTCGTGTCGTGTAATCAGTCACCTGAATTTCTATCAGGACCTCGGCGAAGGTGTAGGCGAAGGCGATGTTCCCCAGGGCCTGAAATGCGTTCCAGGTCTTGGCGGTGGAAGAGGCGGCGGTGGCGCCGCCGAGGGTCCCCCTCACCTCGCCGTGGGAGACCCACCTTGCGGCGCAGAGGCAGAGCCCGATGAGCGAGTAGGCGAAGGACATGGCCGCCGCCACGACGGAGACCCAGGTGATGTTCTCCAGGCTGGGGAACTGCGACAGCGCCACCTCCATCACCCCAAAGACCAACATAAAGGTGTTCCCAGAGACGCGGCACCCTGCAGAGTGCCCCTCCCGGTGGAAGCAGTTGGCCCTCTTCACCGCCCTGCTCGACAAACAGCAGTGAGAAACTTGGCCGGCGATGGCGGAAGCAAGAGATGGTGCTGGCGGCGCCAGCGAGATGCTCACTCACATCATGCTGGCGGTGGCGGTAATGGTGTAGCCCACCATCGTTCCCCACAGGTTGGCGTACTGCGCGACGCCGCACAAGAAGACCTCTCGGGGACCTTGCAGAGACCATCATCGAGATCATCAACTGAACACCCTGTGGTGGCGGAGGACGAGAAGAAGAAGGAGATCGAGAAAACCTAAGTAGGATCTGACGGCGTCCATGTAGGTGAGGTTTCTGTGACCGGAGTCGGGAGAGGGGAAGCGGTAGCAGTCGGCGAGAAGAGTGGAGGTGTAGACGGTGACCATGGCGAAGCCCAGAAGGACGGCGGGGCCCAGAAGCCAGCCGAGCTGGGCCACGCTCCATGCCAGAGCCAGCACGCCGGAGCCAATCACCGCCGCCAGGACATGCGCCGTCCCCGTCCACACCGTCCCTGCACGGTCTCCCCCATCTCCTTCTCAGTGGCTGGTCTCCGACGAAGGTTCATCTATGGCCGAAACAGGGGAGCAGTTGCAGAGTGCTCACCTTGTCTTTCGTGGTCGTCTTCCACGTCGCCGGTGATCACCACCGCTTTGCCCATCCCTTCTGCGCTTTCTGTTACGACTCCCGCCTGCCAGAGGGCATATATATAGGTAGAAGGGCTCAAGCACTAGTCCAGGTTGTTGGGATAGTTTGTTAGGAGCAACTGGAAAATGCCCCTTTTTCTAAATAAACACATTTTTAATTTCATAAAGAATTGAGCCAAAAGGTGCCCACTAACTGCTCCTAACAGAACGCGACATTTTGGATGGAATCTTCAGTATAAAAGGTTATAATTATTTTGATACTTTTTTCTTCAAAATAATAAAATAAAATGTTAATATTATTAATTTTTATTATGATTAATTGGTAATTTATTTACATCCAATGTATAAGTTTTCGAATTTATATTATCACTCTCGTGTCATTCTAGATGTAAACTTATATTCAAAACAGTACCTCTCTATTTCTATAACTTACACATCGGTTGATATATTTGGTAACTTTTATACAATCATAGAATACAAGGGTTTTATTAAAATTAAGAACAATAATATCAAGTGATGTATTAAATTATTAATTTAATATTTTCTATATCGCATGATATGAATTGAAAATTTTAAACGCATTTTATCTAGTAAATGGGTTTCTGGATTTGATTTATGACACTTTTTTTGGTCAAAAATAAATAAATATAATATGCAATTATAATTTATTGTCAAAACATGGATATTTTATTTTGAAATTCTTATTAATTTAATCTAGAAATATGAGTTTTTTTAACATCACGCGCGCACTAATAATGGAGAAGAGAAATCGGGATTAGACCCTACATATATATACACATAGAGTCTTCGTGGTCGTCGTCATCGTCGTCATCGTCGTCATCGTCGTCATCGTCGTCCTCGTCGTCCTCGTCATCCACCACATTGTACGTTCCTTGTTTATGGAAAGTCCCGGGAGGAATATTGATGGGGGAGTGCTCGTCGGACGGACCCAGATCATCCGTCTATCTCTTTGAATCGGGCCGTGTTCTGAACGTGCATTCCGAAAGCAGTGACGGCGCTTTTGCTGACTGGACTCCTCACCTTCTCTTCCCCATTTTGAATGAAATTTAGAGAGAGAGGGGGGGGGCGAGAGAGGAGGAGAGAGAGAGAGAGAGAGGGATCTTCGTTCTAATGATTCCAACTTTCCGGTGCCCTCTGCATCGGACTCCTCTCCTTTGGGAATTCCTTTATTGGGCCCTTTTTTTCTTCCCACGATAGCCATCCTGATTAGACCCCGTGATCCCTTCCCCTTCTGGAAGATCTGCTCAACTCTCCGCCTTCGTCGCTCCTGCGGGCAACCGTATTGCCCATTGGACGCGTCTCTCAGTCCTCTCTCTCTCTCTCTCTCTCTCTCTCTCCCTCTCTCTCTCTCTCTAGTTTGCTAGAAATGGCCAATACCCGTTTGACCTTTTTACCACCCCTTCCCGTATGATAACCCTGTTCGGTTTATGTTTATCGAAAATTCATTAAAAACGTTTATTTTCTTCTTCTTCTTCCTGAATTCGTGGAGCCATAGAATCTAACATTTTAATTTGGGCCTTCTGTCTGATCCAGTCAACTAGGCCCATGAGTTTGGCGCAATTAAGTCCGGCCCTTTTTCTCGGTAGTATCCCTCGTGGAGAATGAGGTTCCGGAGGCGGAGAGAAGCTTCCAGATATTAGGGTTTTTCTTATGGGGTTTGGACGGCTGGATCAGGTCGAATGGCTCTCCCCTTTCCTATAAATCACGGGTTGCCCCTGCCCTTTCTAAACCCTATGGCCGCCGATTAGGTTTGGCTCCGCGGCGTCGAAGATGACAGGTTAGTGTGTTCTAACATTATCGGTCTCCTTCTACTATTGTTGTCAGGATCGCGCTGCATGTGCATTTGCATTGTCTTTTTTTTCCTTGTTTTCCATGGCTCTAGTCTTTCATGCACCAGCAAGCTTTGACGGGGGATGATTTTCTGGGTGAAATCTCCCCTACTGTTTCGGAGCAGACCTCTCATGTCTGCAGATTCCGCAGTAAACGTCATACATTAAGTTAATGGAAGTTGATGGTTCATCCGCAAGCGTGCATATGCATCTTTGCAGGGCGAACCTCCTTCTTTTCTCGTCTCATATTCCATCGCCTTGAGGAGCAGCGTCGCTGCCATTACCTGTTGGGACTGGCCATGAGACGGATATTATCTTTGTTATCGCCGGCTCAGAATCATAACCTTCATGTGTTTGTTTCCTATCTGATCGATTGTATAAGTTTCGTCTTCAAATAAATAGTGGGAAGGAGATTGTTAATCTAGGAAATGGTATCATTTCCCACGGTTTCTCGCCTATCTTTCCTTGTGCCTCAATTGGCGACAAAGCAGAAGTTTCCTTGATTGGATCTTTCTTGAGTTGATCCAAGCAACATATTCAATCCCTGCGAAATCGATACGTGTCCGTTTCACTCACCTGGTTCTGATTAATAATGATTTTCCAGGCCCTTTGTATCTGACACATTTGTGTTCTTGTCATATCCAGAGTTCTACTTTTAGTTATCTCAGCAAACGCACTCTGTCGCAAAACTATCCTTGATGTAGGTCAAGGAGATACTATGTTTTGTGTCAATTTCTACGTTTGCGAAAGAAAGGGTTTCTGTTACCAATCAGTTTTACTACTGCAAAGCTACTATTCTCATGCTGTTGCGGATTCATGGTTGGCTTACATCACATCTCTGTTATTTCTTGCTTTTTTACAAGTATAATGTGCATATTCATTGAAGTTTCATTTAATTGTTGCTTCCATCTCGACAATTTTTCTAGAATGTGCCTTTCTATCGGCTCGTTCTTATCATAGAAGCATATATTTAAAAAAAAATTCATGTAATGCCAGTTTTAAACAGCATGATGTGTATGGTTGCTTGCATCGTGTTACCTGTCATCTGGTAAATTTTTTCGGATAAACCTGCGCTGAACGTTTTCATCACTGTGTTGCAGATGCCATGAGAAGAATGCGTGACATCTTTGGATAATCGTCTGTGGTGGGGCTTCACCTGTTGGATGGCTTTCTCGCCTATGTTGTGAGAATATACTTGTAAATAATTTGGTTGACCCATCCGCGGTAAACAACTCGTAGAAATTTGGTTGTATGATAGAAATTTTGTATTGTACATCTGTTGTCATATCCGCGGATCTTGAATGAGCTTGACCCATCCCAGCAAAGCCTGAGGTAACTACTAGAAATTGATTGAAATAACCGGAGTAGAATGAATCAATATGGTCTGTTCTAAGCTTGTCTGTATTAAAATAATCCAGCATGTTCTGTATGTTTTATTAAAATGTTTAAGAGACTCTTTACTAATTGTCATGAATCTCCTGGAAATATACAAGTTGACTCCTTGTTTATCAACCAACCGGTACACTTAACAATAATTGTTATTAAGGTTTCCAATTTAATTAGAGTACCGTTTAGTACGTAGCCGTTTGGCATGTCGCCATCTAGTATTTGTCAATCTTTTATTTCCGCACTTAGAAAGGTTATCTGGTCTTGAATAAGATTTTCAAAGGACAAGAATTATGTTAGATAAGTCTGAAATACTAAATAAAAATCTAAACATCTGCAGAAAATGATATGAACTATTTTCTGAAATATTAATTTTCAGAGTTCTGATTGAAATAATGTGAAGATCTGTTTAGACAAGTCTGAAATATGGAAGCAGTTTTCAACAAGTTTTAGTTTTTCTTGAAAGAGATGCTATGTCATTTAAAAATGTTTTACATAGTATAAGACTGATTTCAGAAGAGCCTGATGGATTATATAAAACCTGCTTAGGAAAATTTACGATAGTGATGGAAATTTATGTTTTAGAGTTATAAAGTTGTATCAGAATTTCATAAAAAATCGTGCATGAGTTTTCACAACACAACAAAATTGATTTTACAACATATCATGATGGATTTGGGAACCATATAATTAGTGCTTTCAATATGTTCACTACCTTCATCTGAAGAGTTCAAACAAGACCAACGCATCATTGACTATATAGATACAACGAAATTCAACTAATATTTAAGACCTTCAACATCACTATGACAAAGCTTCTCCAATGAAGAAATCAAAGGATGGCAACCCATTCTCTATTTGTGCTTACTGTGTACAGCCACTCAAGGCCAATCTAAATTCTGAATAAACACTAAGATTCATTTATCTAAATTCCAATCTGAATTCTATTTGACCTTTAGATTCATTTATCTAAAAGTTAAGAGTAAATATCCTCTACTTTAACCTCTAGAGCTGTGAATATAAAAGAGATGAATTTGGCCTCTTAGACACATGAACATGACAAGAATTACCAGGTTAGATCTTAAGTTGTTAAATCTAGTGAAAAGACAACTTAAATGTGCAATTCAATATCAATCTCACTGAAGATTCATTGGAATTTAAGGAAGAACATAAAAGGTACTTGAAGAAGAGTGGAGTAGGTATGATGACTGAATGACTATAGCATTAATGTGTGAAATAATCATCTTGCCATTTAGTTCTTAAAGAATTAGGAAGAAAAGAAAAGAATTAGTTCATGTATAGAATTCAATAGTGAGAAAGATAAAAAAGAAGACTAATTTCTTCTTATCCAAAATGGGGTGATAAACTTCTAAGATTTATCATCTAAGGAATTTATTGATCGTTAAAGTCCACTTCTTTTTCTTAAAAAAGAGAATAATATAAATCAAAGAAAATAATTCATGGAAAGTGGATGTAGCCAAATAACGATCCATGTGGTATAAATCTATAGGTACAATATATACCAAACTTTAGTTTGTTGAAAGGAAATATGCAAGTCAATTAATGTGTCCACCTACTATGTAGATCTCAAATTAGTGTGTGTCAATCTAACACTTTGTGTTAACCAATAATAAATTTGTTTATGTAAAACGTTATTCATTAGGTATAACCTTATTTAGAATCACACTCAAAATTTGTAAAGTCCAATAAAAAATCAGCCTACATGGTAATCATAGGGAAAATGGTGTCATAAGTTTTTTCGAAAAGTTTGAAGCTCATACGCTGATGAGATAAATTTTGCATACAATTATTGATCTACTCTGATGAATGATCGTTTTATTAGTTCTCTTCCTACCCTTTGATTCTGATCTCTCATTTTCTTCACTGCCCTATTCCTTGCTCTACGATTGATCGTTCAGTTAATGTCTGATTTATCCTAAAGCTTAATAAAGCTCATACTACTTCCTTGCAATTTATGAAAATTAGGGTTCTAATTTCTTGAGCCGGCCGCATCCGAAGACGAGGGCTAGTTTTCTTCGGAATCTCCGCAGGCTATTATTCTCTCGTCCACGAATGGTCGTCCCTCTGCCGCAAAAAAGCTATTAGTTGTAGTAAGTACATAGTCGCATGCCTGTTATGCCCTCGTTGACTTTCGCCCCTCGAAGAAACCAATATTCTAATCGTCACCCGATCCGAAAAATCTCGTCTTCTAGGGATCTGTGCTTTCTGATGGAGAAGCGCCTCCTACCCTTTTGTCCGGGTTTGCTCTCTTTGGGCGGCCCACATGAGGGGCGCAAGATAAAGACCCCACGCGTCCAAGAGATCGCCGATAGTATTTCATTTCTCGTGTCTGCTCTTCCCCTTTGTTTTCGGGGAAATTCGGTGAAAGACGGAAACCCTCTGACAGGGCGTCTCCTGCACGGTACCCTCTTCATTTGAACGTATATATTCGATCATTAACTGCCCGCAGAGGAAAGAATCCACCAGAGGTAGCTGGGAGTGGTTTTTCTGGTGCCCTTTTCTCCTGGAAAATGCCGGCAGCGAAGTTTGGTTTGGTTCCATGGGTGAAGAAGACGATTGTGGAACCCCTCGTGCAGATCATCCGAAGGTAGCGCTTCCTCTCGCTGATCCGAGTTTTCTCGGCTGTTTCCCGATGAGAATGTTTTCGCCCTTTTCTTCTCATCGTATCAATCGGACAGGTCGATCCAACGTTTTCTCGGACTCTTCAAGATCGAACGCTCATGAATGTCAGATTTTCTTCTAGTTTCTATAGATCTCAGACTCGTTTGCCTCCGTATCCATCCTCTTGCCCTGCCCAACAGTCGTCTGCTTCTTCCGGAAGCAAAAAAATATAAGCTCTTCTCGGGTCAGAGTCGTTGACGTTATTTCAAGCCGGGGCTGACTCTGGGTGCTTCTGTGGGATCTGTTTATCTAGGGGCGCGGAACCAAAACAGCTGGCTTTTTCCACTGCTCTTGGCCTGACCCTTGGATTATTTCCCATTTGTGGTAAGTAACCACGAGACTCACGGTGTCCAGTGGAGGATCTCACTATCTACGTGCCCACTTTGTTTGATGCAAATTTCTTTAATGGCTTTGGAAACATGGCGAATATCCCGTCCCCTGGTGCCCAAGAAAACGATCATTTTGTTCTGTTAAGTCGAGAGAGTCGGGCTATTTTTACAGGCAAATGCTGGAAGATGGAGGCGTCTGAAACTAGTTATGATATTGATTGAGGTTCTTCTGGCTGATTTATTGATTACGCTATCGTACAGGGGTCACAGTGTTCCTCTGTGGGATGGCAATCGCTTTACTTGGTAATCACTGTCATGCTCCCAGTGTGATGCTCGCTAACTTCGTCGCCACGCCATTTGAGCTGAGGTGAGTTTCTTTTGATCTTCCCTGCTATTATATTGTAATCTACTTGTTGCCCATAACTTTGGACATTTTCATCTGCATTCATGCAAGTTTGGAATACTTCTCCTTTGTCATGTTGGCCTTCATCCCTTCTCGTGATTTTTTATTTTTTCTTCATATTTCCTCATTTTTATCAACTGTCCTGTTTTGGTGATTTCTTCTCCATTTTTTATATTATTCTCGAATGGCAATCACTAAATCATATTAGTGTTGGCCGCTCAGGCTCAATCGGTCATCTCAGGCTATCTAAAATTCGGCATTTCAGAAGTATAATAAACATGAAATGGAAAAGCTTTTGCATCCGATTAAAGAGCTCTTTCTGCTTAAAATGATGAGCAAAAGATGAAAACTACGTACAACAAAACTGCAGGGATGAATGAAATGGCTTCAATGAGTCTTGTTGGAAAAATATCGTGTAGAGAGAAGGAAGAGGAGCTACTGTGGTGGGTTGGAGATACATCACCTGAATACATGAAGAATGTTCATATTGCATAAAATTGATTACTTCTTTTCTAGATTTCGGTCCTTATTTTCTTGCCATTATTAGACATAAAATAAAGCAGTTTCATTTGTCGTATCATGCCAAGAACGTTAACTTGATGGGCTCAGCTCAGAATAGATCTGGGTTTTGTTAGGATCAGAGATGCCGCACCGTTGCGCGTTGGACAATCAGAAGTTCTTCTAGAAAAAATAGTAATTCGGTCAGGTTTTTTGAGTATGAAAACTATAAATAGAAAAGGGTGAATGGCTGCAACCAGGGCCAGAAGGGGTGGAGACCTCCTCCAGGAAGGGGCCCAGCCAGGGAGAAAGCTGGGAGCTTGTGCGTGATTTGTATTATCTTCCTTAGATTGTACTGATATTTCACTCTTATCTCTCTGGCCTGTGCTCGTGCCATTTCCCAGCTTGGTGATTCCATTCCTACGACTCGGGGAGTTCATCTCTGGCGGCTCCCACTTCCCGTTGACCGCCGATGCAATGAAGAGGATCCTCACATTCCGGGCCTCCCGAGAAGTTCTAGTCGGCGTTTTCCATGCGGTGAGCCTCGATCACATATGGGTCGCGGTGGTTGACCTCGTTTGGCCCCGGTCAATTCTCACCGAGGTTGACCACCATTGCTTGTCATCATGCCCAGCTGAAGCCAGTATATTATTATGCTGACGGCCGGCTTTCCTGCAGCTGCTGGGCTGGCTCGTGGCTTCACCCTTCATCTTGGCCGCGCTCTACGTGGTGTTCGTCCCCTGTTTCAAGCTCCTCGTTCACAAGTTCAGCGGAGGAGGGCCACCTTCCAGCCCCAAGAAGCAGGCCAACCCCCAGGCAGAGACCAAGGTCAAAGCCCGGCAAGTCTGACCCACTGTACACAAACTTTGCATACCCCCCCCCCCCCCTTTTCTGTCTGGTCAAATGAACATGGAGTAGTCCAGCTGTCCAGCTATGCTTCACAAGAATTTATGATACATATGACCCAGTTAGACAAGAAATCTCCAAAAATTAGAGAGAGCAAGCGAGAGAGAGAGAGAGAGGCATTACTTTCATTACTTAAAAAACACCGTCCCACACGTGTGTATACACATATATTTCAAGATATACCCTACTCACCAGTACCTTATAGGAAGGGGGAGGGATGGTGGGGAGATTTCTGGGCCCCGCCCCCGCAGAACTCGGCCAGACAAGAAAGCCAGCATCTGCGCAGCCTACCAGACATACCATGCATGGCCAGCTAGCCGGCCCACCTCTCCCCATCTCGCGGATTTTGCGGCGAGAACTTGAGAAACGAGGATGGAAGGAAACCAAACCACCCACCGCCGCCGGTGGGGCTGCCATCGTCAGGGCCTGTCTGGGGACGACGGGGGGACGTCGTCGAGGCCTCCAGGTCCCTCGCCGACCTCATCATCCTCGCAGCTGGGGGCCACCAGCGACAGCTTGGGCTTCGGCGCCAGCCTCCTGGCTTCTTCATACGCGTAGATGTAGATCTTCCTCACCATGCCGCAGAACTCGCTGCAATCAGGCGGAAACAAAACAAGAGGAAGACAGGCAAGCCAAATCAGGGCTAATGGAGAGGAGAGACTCGTTGACTAATGAATGGGGTTGGGGAGCGGGGAGAAGAAGAGTTACTGCCAGGGGTCGTCTCCGACGAGCATCATGTCATCCTCGTCGTCCGTGAAGACGACCTGCCACTTCTTGGAGGCGCCAGAGAGCTCCCCCTGGATGCCGAACATCTCCTCCAGCTTGAAGAAGAAGTCGTCGTAGCCTTCTAATCTCGTTAGGTCCACCGCTCTGCCCACGGCCATGCCCTGCATGTGCACCTGGAAGAGTAGTAGTAGGCAGGCACCCAGACACCCGTCATATCAACCCGAGAAAGGAAATAAAGCGAAACTAAGGGAGGAGGGAGAGGGGGGGGGGTCTGAAATGAAACCTTGGTGCAGCTTCTAATCTGCCTGCTCTGGGTCTCATGAGGTGACCTGAGGCAAGACCTCTCAGGTTCGCTGCTGGTGGCAGGGACGTCGGAGCCATTAGGGTTCGACGGCTGTGACTGTCTGTCAGAATCTAGCTCAAAACAGGAGACATGTTGATCTTCTCTGATGCCCTCCGAGAGAGCCGTCACGGGGGAGGTCTCCTCAATGGTGGAGCTTTCCACCAGCTGAATGCCAAATAACCTACAGCCACTTCCAATCTCTTGTCTCTTCTCACAAGCCTCTTTGTTGACAGAATATGAATCGGTTTGGGCTTCCGCCTTGGTTGCCCAGTAGATCGAATTGTTCAGCACAGCGGGCGATGCACTACTTCCAGATAAGCCTCCAGACCCAGGGGCTGATTTTGGGGAGAGAAGAGGAGCGGCAGGAGCTGCAAATGCTTCTCGTCCTCGGTGAGGACCAGGATATGAATACGGCTGGGAGCCCTCAGCAGGAGCCTTCCACAATCCTGCATGAGGAACCAAGAATCTAGTTGTCTGGTAAAAAGTCAACGAGTAACAAAGATGAAAAAGAATGAACAAAAGGAGAAGGTGACGGATGCAAAGGAGTATAGTTGGTCAGAAGATATGATGATATGTTCCCAATTCGTTTCTATTTCTGGGGAGTCCTTGCCATGATAGAATCCAGATGAACGAAGAAAAGAGAAGACTATTAACCAAAAGATTTGTAGGAGAAAGTAAGTGTGATATTAGTACCAAAAGCTGGGGGAAGTTCAGGAGTTGGCAAAACAGGAGGGCGAGCTCGCTTATTTCTCGCTGCAGGTTGCGCAGTCGGAGAGCTGAATGAAACAAGAGGCTCCAACTCCCACGGGGAGACTCTTTCAGGGCGTGGAACGGAGGATGGTTCATCCCACTGGACCTACACAGCGATGCACAGTAAAGTCAAATGAGAGAGAAAACAAAAAAAAAACTCTCATACAAATACAGACTTTGAGAGATCTCCGTTCTCAAGCCACAAGATTTTGAGAGAAAAATGTTCTCTTAACATAACATAACATACTTTGAGAGATCTCCATTCTGAATCCACCCAATGAGATGATGCGCAGTCTCCGACACCAATTATAGTCCCACTGAACCTGAATGACAGGATGTACGCGAAGCATCAAGCACCATACTTCAGGAGATTCTTTCTTCTCCAGAGCATTGAAACCAAACATCTGCTGTATGTACCTTCTTTCAGGAGCTTCATCCCCTTCAAAACGCATCTTGAATCTCATCCCAACAGAGAGTTTGTGATTTTTGGCTTCCAAATACTTGTTCAGACTGACAATAAACTCTGATGGACTAGTTCTGATGTGAGGACATCACAAATTTCAACATTAATGAGTTGCCCAGGGAACAACAACCACGATCCAACAATAAAAGCAACAGATCATCTACAGAATGCACAATGCAGAGGAAGAAAGTAACGCAAGATCGAAACTGTAAGTCAACATTCAACTAGACACGGTAGACAAAAACACGGTACCATGCAGTAAAAACAAACGCAAAGAGAAACCACCTTGGCTTGTAAAAAACAGAGAAGATAGTCCCCGTCGTTACAGCATGGGATGCAGTAGCCAGAACACCAAGGTGCATGCTGTGACTTGATATGACAGATGATGGCATGTTGCTTAATTGTCTCATAAGCCGCCTTACACCCACACGTAACTCTCCATTCTCACCCCTAGAGACAAAAACATCAAGATCTTTATCAAATTCTGGCGGAAGGGACTGTACCAACTCCAAACAAAACAAATGCTATTTACCTTAGGAAGATGAATGCATCGCCTGCAACCAATCTTTTTGAGCTTACAAAAACACTCCACCCTGTTGTAAGCAGATGCCGCCTAGGTTGTCCTGAAACGGAAAGAATTCTTCTGTTCTTCAGACTCGTGAGTAAAACCATAGAGACTGCACTGCATTCACGTTTCTGGAGCTTACAACTACAAAGCAGATTCTTCACTGAATTCCTACAGAGGCTTAGAATAGCATCGTATATAGAAAACATTTAATGTGAAATTGTGAAATCTATGGTCATAACTGCACAAGCGGGGTAAGGGAATGCATTATAAAGAAAATAACCCTTTTTAAATCTAGACACATATCATCGTAAATAGATTCACGAATCAAAAACATAAAATTATATGTCATTATCACAGTTGGAAACTTAAGTAATTGGTCAACGCTCCTGGCCATCTCAGATACGTACCAAGCAACTGAAATAAAATTCACTTTATTGCATTTTATTTTTTCTTTTCAAACTAAAAATTTCATCTTAAATGAATGTCATAGCCATTGAATAAACTATAGACAAGCAACTTCACTGTTCTGATGACTGAAAAGCCAGAAAACTATTTAGGCTCCAAATGACTACGGAAGAAACTAAGCCACTTACCTCTAAATATATGACGGAAATGCCATTCATTGCCATGCAAATCAGAGGCAACTAATTCCTGCCAAGGTGGCTGCTGGGTCATATCCTGAAAAGATAAAAACCGAGAAAACATAGAGTAAGGAACTGATAATATTAACAATAAAAATACATTCTTCAGAGATTGATGAAAATAAGGTCTAAACTCACAAGGGGAGGCAGACACTCATCAGCATGTCTTCTCAAAACTGAGAAACCTCCATGCGTACTTGTATCTGATGCAGTAAGTGTCTTACAGAAAGAGCGCACTGAACACCTTTCCAGTTCAGGAAGTGGAGAATCTGGGCTTGTTACCTCGCTTTGCTGATTAATTACGGAAAGCAATTAAACATAAGAAACGCAATAGCCCTAGAATGCTTATATAGGTAGCTGGGTACGAATGTCATTCATCAGTTTTTGACAGTTCTGACCACATCTTGGGCTTTTAAAGAGAACAAAGATATTACGCTAAAAAAGCTTCAATCATGAACTCTATGCGTCAGACTAAGTAAACCCAAGTAGTTACGAATTGAAGGTGAGATAGTATGTCTAGTCGTCATAGTATCAATACAATATAAAGTCATTCAATCTTGAACTACGCAATAAATTCGAGAATATTTACTAGAAGCCAAAAATCTAACGTCGCACAGAAGATATTTTTTCTGTCAGTCGTAATTTCAGGTTTACAATGACATCTGTTGAACATTCTATTTTAGAGAAATCAAATCAAAGAATTAGCGTGGGAAATTACTAACTATTTTCACAATAAACTATAGGACAAATAAACAAGGTATAATAGAAAGAAAAATCTGGTGAGGACCAGGACACAGTGAGGACTTACATCTGGTTCAGGGTGCAGGGTAACATGCGCAAAAACTTCATCTGTTTCTGGCTCAGCCTTGAGTTTAAAATGATGCGTCAGTACAAAACACAAAAACCCACAGATACAACCAAATATAACGATACAAAACGTGATAGAATGTACGCATATAACCAAGAAAAGGACTTACCTGAAGCTCCACATGCACAACTCTACAAAGAATTTTCGATGACAAATTAAACGAAGGCATTTGCTGGTCAAGACCCTGATTAGTTGACGCTTTGAGCTACAAGAAGTTTGATGATAATTAAAATGGAAGGACCAAACGATCATTATTCATTTTCAAAAATACTGAACCTTGTATACCTGTTCCATGTGACCTTGGGGAAAGTAATAAACTCTTTCCCCTTTCCGAGGTACAGAGACTAATGGTCCAGCACAGGCATGCCAGAGCTCTCTGTATAATGCATCTCTAGTGACCCCTACAAAATTTAAGAGAGACAAATTACATCTGAACGCAACAAGGAGGTAACGACACAAATAATGTCCTCGCTAACATATAAGCTATTTTATATCCAAAAATATTACTAAAACTGGGGTGATTCCGTTCATTTTGTCGTCCACTATGTTAGGTTAAAAACTGGAGGAAAACTAATGAAGAAAAAGGCATGACTTTCTCAGAGTCTCAATCAAAACAAAAATAATCAAATGCGAAGGATTTAAAAGCGACAACAAGAAACTCAGAGTGAAGAGTATCAGAAACAGAAAAAGGAACCAATATAAACGACCAAAGAGACGAAATAATGAGGTATCCAGAAAGAGCCGGCATCGATCTGACCATGTGATCTAATTTCGGATCCCATTTGAGTGATGACAAGTCGAAGCAAACTACTACTATAGGGAAATCATAAGAAAATTAAGGATAACTCAAAATTGGGAAAATACGACTACTATTAAATTGAAGAAATAATCTGGAGAAGGGAAAATCTGAAATCAAAGAAAACTAGGTGAAAATCGAGGGAACAGACACCGACCTGATCCATGAGATCCTGGCGTTGACCCCATCAGTGAAATGATGAGCACGCAATTCCTGCGCTGGACGCTTTAAAGGATGCAGAGGAACCCGAGTACAGAACAATCTGCCTACCGCACTTCAATTACGCAACTCTGCGGTGAGGAGACAATATTTCCATCAACAAAGAAACTCCCGACACAGAGGGGGGGGGGGATGCCTTTTAAGTTTCCAAAACGAAGACCAACCAGAATGATCCAAAAATCTGCTACCAGTCTCCCGGAAACACCGTCTACGCGCCTGCACCGGACACGTAAGAAAATGAGACCAGGGATCACGAAACTTGAAAGCCAGCTAAATGGAGAAAAAAGTCGCCAAGAGCTTCAAATCCATGCCATCTGCTGAAGGCTCTTTCTTAGCCACAGCAGGATTGCTCTATAATAGATGATACACGATCTTTAACGACCAAAAGTGCCGTTCAGGATTATGGAGAGCACGAGACTAGATGAAAAAGGCTGGGTGAGAGGAACGAGAGTGGTGGGGGGGGGGGGGGGGGGGCGAGAGAGAGAAAGAAGAAGATTGAGAGAACACGAAGGATGGAGAAAGATGCTGACCCGAATTTTGAATAGGGGCATGACCGTAGTGGTACTAGGGAGACAGTGCTCACAACGAAGGAGAAGAAATGAATAGGCCAACATACCTCAGATTTCACTAGTTCCAACTGAAAAAATGGAGATCAACTCTGATCTAACCCCCTGACCGCAGAGAACCAACCGATGTCTCAAAACACAAATAAAGTGACCGTGTGGTCGAAACAAACCCCTTGATACCGCGGTTTTCCGCAAATCGATTTACCCTCGACGCAACCAAATCCAGGCCGAACGAAGCAGCACTCTCCGAATTAGTTAAAACCTCAAAAAGGAAGTTTATCTCAAGAACTGGAAAGGGAAAAGGCCTTCCTCAGCGACAACACCTTCGGAAGCACCTACCAGCAGCCCAATTCCTGACGCTAGCAGCTGTTCCTCCTGGATGAAGAAATCTCCGAATTCCCGGCGACTTCAGACCAAGATCAAAGATCACCACCGTGAAGCGGCAAATTCTAGCCCAATACCACGATTTCTACCCGAAACGAAGCCTGTCAGCCCCAACTTCGCCAGCGACCCAAGGTCTGCAGCCCCAGGACAACCCCGCCCCTCCCCTCCCCTCAGAAAGAGGCCAGATCGGGCGAACCGTGGAGAGGAAGCATGATGCGAGCAGATTGAGGTGCAAGGAGAAGGTACAGGGAGGAAAAGGAAAGACAACCTTGGGAGGAGCTCCGCTTTCTCCCTCAGAGGCTTCCTCTGCGACCGCTGGTGCTGCTGCCTCTGCCAGCGCCTACACCCCCGCCCTGCCAAATCGCTGTCCCCTGCGTCCTCTGCCCGTTTCCTCCTTCCACGAAGCTCGAGATAGGACCAAGGCCTTCCGTAACAGCCCCCAACTTCACTGAATTCACACAAACACCATCCCATCGACCTCCGCTGCATGCTTCTCACCGACTAAAAGGCCCCCCCGTTTTCCCTCAAATTACGAGTTTAGCCAATAAGCAAGGATGCTGCCTTTCCCCCGACCAATACCATGACGAGGTAGAACATTACTTTAGGCGATCGGGCTGTAATTTTTATTTAACCCCGCAGTTTTTGGATTTTTGGATCCTGGCCCCCCCCCACTTGGATGACCTTTTTCGGTCGATACCCCTCTGAAGGTCAACCGTCCGATGCTGATCTAACGATGGAGAGAGCAATGTTGAGTAGTCAATAGGCCGGAGGGACACGGATATCGATAGGTTGCGACGATTGGAAAGATCTCCACCGTCCATTAAAAAGAAGACGGGCCTACGGTTTCGGTATCGGATCATATCCGTTTCGGTAAGCGGACAAACGAATTCGAGTTTAGTGGCACAGCCTATTCGTAGTCTCCCCCTCCCCCCGGCAAGGGATCGTGAGCAGCAAGCTAGGTTAGCTGGCATCTAGGGGACCAGTCCCCTAAGCGCGCCACGCAACCTTGTGGTTGGCCAAAATTAAGCAGGGGCCCACCGAGTTAAACCGAGATAAACTTGCCTGGTGTCCTACATGGCTCGTGGGGACCACGCTAGAGAGCTCCGCGGACGACGTCAGCGGAGAGATTTTTGCGTCAGTTAGCGCCGCCCGATTTATCCGGCTCGCCGGCCATCCACACGGTGCGCGATGGACGGTAGAGATTGGCGGTGGGCCCACCGGGGGCGAGGCAAATGTGGGTCAATGGAGACAGTCGCCTTCGAGCTACAGTAGTAATGTGGGTGGGCTGGAATAATAAGAATAATATGAGAGCTTCGTCGACGGGCGCAAATTAGCGGAAGACTGAGTGGTGGAGGGCGCATTTTAAAATTCCTCCCGTGCTGCAAGCGACAAGGTGTCGACGCTGTCTTGCTCTCTCTTTCACGGCTCACGCCCGATCGGTTTGGGCCGTCACGGAGCACGTGCCAATGGAACCCCAAAAGTGGACAAATTTACGGGAAAACCGTGGGCGAATATCACTCCATTACTTAATAATCAATATCCGGTCTAATATTTATCTACATAAAAGGCTTTCATTTTCTATGTACCCTCCCAAGAAGGAGGACGATGTGGGGAAAAGTCGGAACTACCCTCCGACGTACGGGACGCGTGAAACTGCGGTAGAGAGAGATTCGTAGGAGACAGGGCATATTGTGGCTGTAATATTAAACGGATATAAATAAATATTATAATATATTTATCAAGGGGCCCCACCTTAAAAGCTGTCCGCCAGTAGGGGTCGGCGTCTGTACCGGAGAGAAACGGTGGGATGAGAGAGAGAGAGAGAGGATGCCGGGGGGCGGTGGAGCAGAAGACGTTCGCATGATGCGGAAAGGGGAACAGGAGGTCGGCGGGGCGGTCGGGGTGGACCGGGCAACAATGCCGCTGACTTGAGCCTCCCGCCGCCTTTTGCGTCGTATGGAGTCGCCCTGCGGCTCACACGTGCGAAAAAGGCAAATCTTCTGTTTGCCAGAGTTTGAAATCGAACCAGAACGGAAAGTGACATATTTTAATGGGAGGTGTTCTCCGAGTTATTGTTATCGGCATTTGGACGACGCCCAGCCACATGCCAGATGACCCCACGTTTAGAGAGAGAAATAAGCCCGCCTAGTCAGAGGACATTCGGCGATCAAAAGTCTCAGTTTTTCTTCTTATCTTGGATCAACACCATCCAGGGGAGAAAGTCAAACGAAGGACCGTTCAGTTCTTAGACAAGGATTCTCAGTCAAACTCTCATTTACAACGAAGGTTCAGAAACCTCATTTATTTTCTTGATTGATCCCCGTGAGATGCTGTTCTGGGCCCAAAATAGTTTTTTGCCAACAAAAGCCGTGAAGTCAACGCCTTCGTGGACCCACAGAAAATCTTGCCCCTCTTCAGCCGAGGTCGGAAGATGCTATGCGTGTGCCAGCTGCTAAGTTTCGAGTTTCTCCAGATGGGTTTGGTATTTTGGACGATTACTAGAAGAGAACAACCACTTAAGACAAATTTGGCCTGCAACTTGGTTTGTTTCCCCTGGACTCACTCAATCCCTCGAATCAGGCATTGACCTGCTGCGCCTCAGCTGGGCAGCAGGGCCAGCTGCCGGAGATTGACGGGGAAACAGTCAGAGGGCGGGCCGTCAAGTGCCCTCTGCGCGAGGACCGCGTTGACCGCCTCTGAAGGGTGGAAGGCGTCCCAGAAAACGTACTCGCTCCGGTTGGCGCACGGCGTAGCGAGAGGTAAGCAGGTGATCTCCGCCTGCTGCCTCCCTATCCCACAGCAAGCCCTGTCCACCACCCTGAACCCTGCAACCAAATCGAATCTACTCTTCAGACCCTTGTTTTCAGAAAGCACAAGGAGAAGGGCAGAGAAACCCCCATCTTCTTCTTGTTCTTCTTCCTCCTCCTCACTCACCGTAGGCGGATGGGTTGTTGAGGATGTCCCCTACGGCGGCGTAGGTATTGCCGTAGACGAAGGTTGCATCGGTGTGGGCGTCGTTCAGCTGTTCGACCAGCTCCCGCAGGCCGCGGTTGAAGAAGCCGACGATCTCGTTCACGCGGTCAGCGCACCGACCCGGGGGAGCGAGCGCCGCCGTCCTCTGGCTCGGGATGCAGCCTAGCGGCGCCAACCCTGCGACGAGGAACTTCCGTAGGCCAACGCTGTGCAGTGCCTGCAGGGGGAGCGTCGTTATTTTGAGCAGGTAGGGGCTATAAAAAGTCTCAAAGGAGAAGCTCCACAGAAACATACCAGGAGCTGCCGAGTGAGGCGATTGAGCAGCAGATCGGCGTAGTCCTCCGGGGAGTAGTTGTAGCTCGAGGAGTAGAGGGACGGGAGGAGGTAGTTGTTGATGTAGTCGTTGCTGCCGATGATCATCACGACGATGGAACTGGCCAAGAACTGACTGAGCATCCTCACGCCGCCCAGCACCATCCTCAGTTGTTCGAGGTTGCTCTGGAAGTTCAGCACCTGCTCGCTCAGGTCGAATCTCTCCCCCTTGGAACATGCACCAACCAGGCAGAGGCGCCGACATTACGTGACGTAGAAACAAAAACATACTTGAGAAATCATGCAGGAAGAGAGGGTGGGGGCAAAGAGAATACGAGGAATTGGCCCGATTCTTCGAGTATACCGGCGGCGGCCGACGCATAGTTAACGCCGGCGAGGAGCTGGGTCCCGTTGAGGGTCGGAGACATGTACGGGGGAAGGTAGGGAAGGTTGAACGCGTCACCTGCGAAGGACAGAATAATCAATCAAGCCTGCTGATCCTGAAGAGACTGCGATTATGAAACGTGGAGAGGAGGATTGGTTACAGAGCACATCGACGATGGTTCTTCCATTGGAGAACCTCCCCGTGGGGCCTTGGTAGAAATCTACTCCGTAGGGGTAGTAGTTGGACTTGGCTACGGAGGTGAGGCCATTGTTGTTCCCGTTGTCTACCAGCGAGTCCCCGAACACGAACAAGGCGGGGACTTGAGCGTTACCCAAAACCCTAGCCCCGCTGTGGAGGAAGATGAGAAAGACTGTGGCCATCGAGCACCACAGAGGTAACTGGTGGACGGCGTAGGGTTTCCAGTTGCTTTCCTCCATTCCGTGAAGGGAGACGAGAGCTAGGGTGGCCCTTCGCCGGTGCAACATGCTGTCTGTCTGGTTGTCTCTCGTATTTAACGGCTACTTCAGTGCATGGTTCTCGTGATGTTTTGTTTTTCTAGTCACGATTCCCCTCCAACTCTACCCCCCACAAACTCTCTTTTCGCTTCGCTGGCGTTGTCATGTTCCAAACCATAACGCATGAAGCGTTACTCCCGTGCTTATAAATCTCCTTTTCCAGGATGCATGGAAGAGTTTCGTTTAAGCATTACCAAGTAGATGGAGTCATGATTTTAGATTTCTCTCTCTCTCTCTCTTCCTTCCCCTCCCTTTCATGCTCTCCGGCTGTGTGCGTTGTATTTACAGTATGTACAATGTAGCCTTCGAATCTCTTTCCCCGGATACATGGATTCGTTTCATCTCTCTATCTCTCTCTGCCCTCCGTGTGCCGGGGTAATGGCAAAGGGAAAGGTCCATTGAACCCTTCGAGCACCTCGGCATTCTGTAACCATAGTATATATATCATGACCAGAAAAAAATATGGGGTCAGCCGGGCGAATCCGACATTTGACGAAGAAGAATGCACATCAATTAAAGTGTGAGCTTACATTCGATAAAAACCATTTTATACGATGAGTTAAAACCTACTTTTTCTGTGACTCCATAATATAACATTTATGTCATCTGCATAATCTTTAATTCTCATGTTCATAAACCTTTAAATCATCACTCTTTTAATTTCATAGACCTCCATTTACGTGTTGGCATATAAATTGTACCACATAAAAAATGGAACATTTTCTTTCCTTTTATCCAATTTGTTACTTGCATTATCCAATCGAAAGAAAAAATAAGCTGTATTTTCTGTGCATATGAACTAAGAATTGATTTATTATGAATTATAAATTGATTTCCTTGTGTAAAAGACTAATTCATTCCCCTCTTATCTTTTATTATACTTCTTTTTAAGCCAATAATTTATATGGGAGTTTCATTTTCGCCAAATCCTATGATAAAACCATGCCAAATGCCATAAATGTTATATTACACAATATTCATTTTAGTCATCAATTATACCTGTTGAGAACCTGAAATGACAATATGCCTTTACACTATTTATCACAATGCTAAGATATTTATTTCTTATGAAAAGAATCACACTTGAAATGATTGATCTATCTTAAATGAGCAACAAGAAAAATTATTTTATATGGATACTGAAGCCACTAATAGTTTTTTGTGCATTGTCTTTTATTAAATTGAATGAAGTTTTTACTTGTGAAAGAACTAAGGATATATCATAACAACACCATGTCACAAACAAAAGGATAAGTTATATAAATCTAAAATTGAAATATTAATTTATAGGTATGAATATTTTCAGTTCAGCATAATAAGCTAACTAGCTACATGTTTACAAAGTTGAATATGTGGAGAAAAACGATATCCACATTGAAATGTGAGAAAAGTATTAAGTTTAATACCAACAAAGGTCAAAGATAATGGAGGGTTATTAGGATCAAGGAAACTAAATACCTAAACAAATTATCCAAAAAAAACTCATCAACCTCTTTACTCGTATGAGATAAGGCTAAGAAAGGACCTTTAATCATAAGAAATCAAATATAAAGTCAATTCCATTGAATCATTGTGATAGGTCCTTCAATCATCAACACTAATAAGGACAGTGATGACATACTCTTAGTACGGAGGAACTTCAACAATATTTAGAAGATTTATACGAAACTCTAACCATTGTTGCTTCCCTTGTAGGGTAGATTACATACTAAGTGGGAAGATGAATTGATTTCTATTGGGCCCACAATGGGCTTTACATATTCGAGATGTAAGAAAATGGGCCCAAAGCCCAGCTTACCTCTTTTCAAGAAGAAATCTACCCATGTGTTGGAGGATTAACCAAGGTGCAGGCAGGGAAGAAAAAGGTCAATGACTATGCTATGAGGAAGTATTAGGGTTTCCTCATCAGGGGAGGAACATCCCCACATATTCTAGGGTCCTTCTGGAGTCTTTGCATTATGTGGTTATCTATTCTACCTTTGTTGTTAACATATATATTTTCTTCTAATTTGCTAGGAGGGGGGGGGGGGGGTGGCTACAAACTTGTATTAGAGCCATAGATGACGATGAAGCTCCAAGAAATCCACACAAAGGCATGGGGGAAAGTGATCTTAGAGGTGAAGAACGAGTTGACAAAAATGAAGGCATAGATGAAAGCAGAGCAAGACAAGGTACACCAAATGATGACATAGATCATGCAAGCCATGACAGACCTTCTGCAAACAATATGGAAACAACTAGAGGGCAATAAAACTAATAATAAGAAATTTTTGACAAGTCAAGGGTTAAGAAAATGCAAATAGGAAGATGGCACCATAGTTGACTAGTATAGAGGTGATGGCCCACACAATCATCAATAGTAAAACATCCTAGGTTGAAGTATTTTTGGGATTGACAAATTCATGGAAAGGGAAGAGATGGTCATACCTTCCTCCATTATATTAAAACAAAGATAGAGTACACAACCATTGAATAGTAAGGCTCTATAGGAACCTTTGAATAGGTGGGGATCTTCAAGAGGCTCTGCTCTCCTTAGACTCCTCTCAAAATTCTCTCCTCCTCCCTTGAAGGAGAAACCCTACTATTACCCATGGCATAATCATTGAATCTTTTCTCTCTTCCCTGCACCTTAGTTAACCCTTTATTGTAGGGGTAGATTTGTTCCCCATTAGAGATAAGTTGGGCTCTAGGCCCATTTTCTTGCATCTAGGCTTTTGGAAAACTCAAACTTGTCATAATCATTATTTGGGTTTTGGTCTCATTAGATTTTTTATAGGTCTTCATTGTAGAAGTAGATGTGTCGAGATAATGCTTAGGCGTAGTGTTCATGCCATAATGATGACCAATTGTATATTTCGGTCAACCACTCTTAAGAAAATATGAATTAAAGGTTGTGTACAAATGAGAGCTGACGTGACTTAGTCGTTGTATATTAAATCACGCAAATATAAAATTTATTAAAACTAGAAAATACGATTTTTTGGATATTTAGAAGTATTTCTGAACAAATATATCAATTATAATTCAATAAAACTTCCAAAAAATAGCGATAATTTTCCAAGTCGATCAAAGGGATGTAATATAATATTTGGTAATTATTCAGAATTTTCCTCAAAGAATACTATTTTCTATGAATTTTATACTAAGAAATAAAAAGGAAAAATATATTTAAAATTCACAAAAAAAAGCAAATAAGGGTGCGGACGTCAGGATGATGTCAGCGCCTGGCGAACGCGAATCGGGCAGAAATAGAGTTCCGCCCGGTGATTCTTACGTAAGTGATTACAGACGATTTAATTGATCAAATTAAGATTTGTAAAAGCCGAAAGAATCGTAATGAAATGAAGTATATCTGAGTAAATTTAAAATCAACAAACTATCACTAAATGAAACGTAAATTAAGTTAAAAGCAGGAAAACAGAGTTCCGACGTCGTGGCAGCGATGCGTCGACGATGCACCATAATCCTAAGCGTTCGGGAGGATTGTCATGTAGTGTCTACGGCCTCGAAGGCTCTCCTTGGATAAGGACGACGTGGGCAATCTCTAGATCTTCTCGCGAAGTCTAGAGATTAATGAAATGGGTCGTCGAATCATCTCCGGTGGCTGTCACTCGGCGGAGCGGAAAAACGGCGACTTTGCGGCTCTCCGGTGGCTGTCACTCGACGGAAAGGAGCTGAATAGAGGTAGGGTGCGTGTCAGGGAGCTTCATCCTCAGGTCCGTGCAGCAAGAGGAGGCTCTTCATTGCATCTGGTACGCTCTCAGGAGGTGGCGACTCGTCTCTCGATGGATCGTCCTCTTCCTGACGACGGCTTGTTCCTCGATCAATCGGAGATGATTTACTCGATGGATTCGTGATCCTTTTATCACGAATCCTTCAGTAATTTTAGTAATCATGCTCCGCAAATCGCGTTGACGAGATTTTCGTCGATGATCCAGCGATTTTGGTTGCTTAATCCTTCACGGCGATCTGTAGGAAAGTTGCGATAATCAGATAAAAATATGAGTTTTGGCTCTGTGAGGATTCGAACATGTGCCGGTTGCCCCCGCCTCTTTTGAAGGTGACGGGTTTAATCCCACATTGGTTGTGCGCCAAATTTCAGGCAAATATATAGTAATGTTACATTTTTAAGCAAAGTCCCTTTCTTGCGTGTGTACAACCACTCCTTGCCCCACAGCCGGCTGGCCACCGGTGATGTGGAAGGGGAGTGGCGCACACGTGCCCCTATCTATTCAAGCCGTTCGAGCCCCTGCTCGCAGCTACTCCCCGACTGCGCTTTTGACCTACTTGCGGGCCCGACTGGCCGGTGGGTCCTCCCATTTTGTAATATTTTTATTTTTATTTTTTTTTCTTCATTTATCTCAAAAGTAAGATTGTAAAAATCATATAAATTCGTATAAAATCACATAATTACCCAAAAATTCACGTTAATCAATTGAAAACCACTTTTCACACTTTAATACAAATATAAGTCTATTTATCATGAGTTAAGGCTAAAACTATATTATTTACTAATTATTAACTCATGATAATGAAGACTTATCAAGAGCTGTTGTTGATTTTCTAAGTAGTTAAAAGATAAAGACAATACCTATTAGGGTAGCATTTTATCATTCATATTAGACCAATGAAGTCTAAGTTTCTATTAAAGAAAAACACATCACTTTAGCATACCAAAAGTGGTTAATCAAGCTACTCATATATGATTTTGAAATTCATTTCAGAATCAACAAAGTAGCAAATGTCACCTATTACCTCTCCCATGGATAGCACAAAAGGTTCAGAAGAATGCCCATCTTGTCCACATATTCTAGGACTTAGAAAAATAACTCTACAAGTGACCAAAATACAATATACACCAAGGACTTCTTCTACATCTTCAACAACTTGTGATACCAAACTAATCACACCAATTTGATCAACTTCTGAAGACTTACCATGAGTCCACTCCAAGGGGTCATTTGGGGGTTTGACACACCTATAAATAGCTGATGCAAGATGTATTCTAGGCTGGCATGAATAGGGTGGTTTGGAAATTTGTGGAATGCTTCATGCTCTACTAGAAAAGAAAATATAAAACCTATCACTAGTAGGTTTGCTCCAATTGCTTGAAAGTCTTTAACATGTATTAGACAATTTGTCTATATACTCATTGAGGGTCTCCTTATTTTATGAGACTTTAATTGTATCATGGTCATATTTTAGTAAATACGTCCACTTTATTATTCTCAAACATCATTTTTCAATACTAAAAATTATGCACATTTGCATCAATGAGATAACTAGACTATAAGATATTATGAGAATTGTCATGTCTAATTGAGATACAATTTTCATAAGTCATTTCTGATAAAAAATATTCAGATTAAAAGGGACTAAATTAAAGCACAACACAACTTATCATCTTCAGATGAGGCGTATGTTTGGGAGCTTCATCCTTAGGTCCGCGCAGTAAGAGGAGGCTCTTCATCGCATCTGGTATGCTCTCAAGAGGTGACAACTCATCTCCCAGCGGATCATCTTCTTCTCGACAATGGCTTATTCGTCGATCAATTGGAGATCATTTACTCGATGGATTCACAATCCTTTTATCGTAAATCGTTCAATAATTTTAATAACAATGCTCCGCAAATTGCATTGACAAGATTTTCGCTGATGATCTAGCGATTCTAGCGACTTAATCCTTCATCGGTGATCTACAGAAAAGTTACGATAATCAGATAAAAATACGACTTTTGGTTCTGAGAAGATTTGAACTTGCATCAGTTGCTCGCCTTTGAAGCCTTTCGAGGAAAGGTGTGATGCGGATTTAGTCCCAGATCACTTGTGCGTCGAAGTTTTGGACGAATAAATACTAATATCACATTTTCAAGCAGTGAGTCCCTTTCTTATGCATGTACAACTACTCCTTGCCTCACAATCGGCTGACCACTAGTGACGTGGAAGGGGAGTGGCGCACATATGTGCCCCCATTAGTCTTAGCTGCTTGAGCCCCTGCTCGTGGCTCCCCTTGACTATGCGTCCAACCCGCTTGCAAACCCGACTGGCCAATGAGTCCCCCCATTTTACTATATTTTTATTTTTATTTCTTTTTCTTTATTTATCTCAAAAATAGGACTATAAAAATCATATAAATTTAGAGAAAATCACATAATTAGTTAAAAATTCACGTTAATCAATTGAAACCTACTTTTCATAATTTAACACAAATATGAGTCTATTTATCATGAGTTAATGTTAAAAATATATTATTTACTAATTATTAACTCATGATATTGAAGACTTATCAGCCCACAACAAGCCTTACATATTCAAGAAGCAAGAAAATGGGCCCAAAGCCCAACTTAGGTGTATGGAGGGGAAAAAAAGTAAAAAACTATTGTAATGTGTATGTACACACTAAATTTTAGTATTTGTTAGAATGAGATATTGATATTAGCTTGACATTTGTTTTTGAATATATGACTATTCTCGAACCAAAGATGGAGAGGTTTAGTACATAGGATTTAACTAGTCTATATTTCTTATTTTGTAATCATTTTTATATTTTTAATTTCTCAAAATGAACAATGAAGGACTCAATTTATAATAGTATGTGTCAGATTTTATGCTGCATTTAGATCAAAAGGGGGGTGAATTGATATGTATCTAATCTTTGACTTTGTTCAACTAGTTTTAAGATTTTTGATCTTCTCTTTCAAATCCTAAATCTTATGATATCTATAGATATAATGGTAAGCAGTTTAGGGACTTTGAATTGGTTTAGCCCTCTACATGTCCACTTCCCAAGAACAATTCTATTCTTGGGTTCAACTTGATCAATTGTCTACTAATCACAACCATTGATATATGCAAATTTTCTTCTAGATTCACAACTCTTAATAACAAACAACTAATTATAAGGTCAACTCTCTTTATTGACTGCATCAAAATTTAACCACAAATTTATCCACATAAAAATAATACAAAATTTCACTATGGGTTGATTTTAGAAGTTATTGTTAACTTAGATTGTATGTATAATTATAATTAAGAGGGTGATGATGGAGATTGAATTTTTGATGTCCTCTTCTTATAGGAATACGAACTTAATGGGGAAGACATAACCACTTATCAAGTTATGAAAGATCTCTCAAAGTTGATCATTTAAAACTATTTAACTATATGAGAGGCGATGTATTATTGAAAAGTATCATTGAAAAACTTCTTCTATTTTTCTTCATCTTAGAATGTTTACAATTCTAAAATTTATTAAAAATTTGAACTAGTGGAAATTAGTTTGACATGGCATCTAAGATTTTGGATATCATCTTGAAGAAAAGTAATGCTTTCACAATCACAACTTGTCCAAATCACCTCAAACCAATTAAGGTCAACAAATAGACTCATTGAATCACAAACTCAATATGTAAAATCATAATTTTAGTGACATAAGTATTGATTTTTTCTAAATAATATTTTTTGATATTTAGAAAACTTTGAGGGACAATATAAGTGATTCAAATTCAATCTATTACTTCGATATTAATAAATTTCAAAGTAATGATTTCTCATCATGAGTATCTAGTATGACAAGTTGCTTTGATATTCATATCCTATCTCATGAATTCTTGCTGATTCAAGGGCTAATTGTTAGTTTTTCATGGTGTTAATTTCTGTGAATATTGACATTCACAACAATATCCAAAGCAATAATTTTAAGAGGTAAAATTTACAAAATTATGGAATTCAACATTATGAGAATCATACTTTCTTTTACTTTTGATTTAGGTCTCTCTAATTATTTATTTTAGTTATTTAATTTAGTTATTTATTAATTTTATATTCAATTACATTGAAAGTCATGCTTACAAGAATATTTATCTATTAATAAATTTGATTGTTAATAATTATAATTTGATCTTTTAATTATTATTATGTGTGTTTTTTCAGTATCAAGATAACATACACAATGTTCCAACAGTTTGGTCCGCTTAACATACTAAAATACTTCAAGGAAACCTCCTCCGATTAATTACAAGGGCTCAATTTTCATAGAGTTTTCCTCAAAATTCTTTATAGATTCATGGCTCTAGAATGATCAATTGCTGATCACGAGGATAAGCTCTGTAGATTAATAAGCAACGTTTATCAAAAGTTCTACCGCAAGAAAATATAAAAGATTTTTCACTGCATGTGATGATTTCCAAAATCATTATCTTGTAGATGTGTGGGATTTGATGAAGTCACTTATTCTTGTTCTTTTGGTTGAGATGAATAAAATTTATTCATTAATTCACAATCCCAATTTCTGTCTCCATAATTATGACTTAAATACTGAATTTCAGTCAAAATTATTTTCTTTGAATGTTGACAATTCATGTGTTTCAAATGGACGATAAAGGCACGATTTATATATTTATTTTTGATATGATCTTTCTTTTTGTTTTAAATCCAACAAAAATATCTGATATGATGCCTTCTTTAACTCTTTTGGATATGTCCTTTAGTACATACATCCAATGACATTGGGTCTAGTAAGCACAAAATTGTGTCAGATAAACATAATAAACTAAAGCAATGATTTAGAATACAATTAAAATCTAAATCATCACACACAAAATAAGAACATAAAGTATCACTTTTGAGACTTCATAGGATTTAAATTCAGATGCCAAGAATAATGTACATTAAAATCAAATAATTCATTTAGGTAAAAATTCAACATATACCTTCACTCTTGAGTTCTCAACAATTTGATTTCATGGTCATATCTCCATTTGTGCACTTTAAACTACATACATGGGAATTTTTCTGTACTCAATTTTTAATATTAATTAAAATGTGCCACTGATAAAACATTAATTTCTAGCATATTTCTAAATATTTTCATCAATCATGAATATTAAATATAATATTTTAATTTTCATCTGGGTAGTTTAAGAATGATAGAGATATTTTTCAAAGATGTCAAAATCATTGTTCATATGTTTCATTGGATTCTCATGTTGTGTTTAATCAAAATGTAATTAAAATTGTATTACTTGATAATATATGTGGATTTTTTGTCTTCAAATTTTTTTAAGGAAAACAAGGCTCCTTAAGTTAGCAATCTCCCTCTTTTCAATTATAGAAAAACAAATATACATGTGCAAGTCAAGTAATGTCTGAATATTTATTCTTTCAAGGCTTTCAATAATTTCTGATTTTATTCTTATTTTTTGGTTTCTGATTAATCCATTGAGAAAAAAATTGTTAGACTCTAATTTCAGCAGTTAGAATCATAATTTTATGATGATTGCAAAGTATGGAGACTTTCTTATCGTTGAGAGTTGAAAAACAGATTTTTCGTTTTATAAAAAAATATAAAATCAGATATTTCAAAATATTTTTGAAAAATAAAAAATTCGAATCAATTGAAACGTATGCATTCAAATTGATTACATAGCTGATTTTTAACTAAATTTTGATATATGTGGTTTATATAATTGCCTGAAATTAATTTGAGTATA